CATGGTAACTCAAATGCATTAATTTGGCCTGTTAGGAACAGGCAGGGTATCCCTTGGCTGTCATCAGAGAACACCCAAATTGTAATTGGAACAATCAAAGAAACAGCTAGCTAATATTTAAAGCAACGTCTTCAGGGTGGAAAGAGAAGGTAAAGGTCTAGAAAATATTGCATATAATATCAAGAGTGGGACAACCACTCATGAAAACACAGCATTATCTATTTTCAAGCAAAGGACCTAAAATCAGACCAGTCAGAGCCTAGTATCAAATCAGAGGTGATGTGGACTGAAACTGTTGATGAAAGAGATTTCTGAATCCATGGAGTAATAATCCAAAATGATGCAAATCTATCCTAAGCTCTTCAAAAACCATCTGGGTTTTTGTCTGTCTTGTGGTAGTATGCCCAAGATTGTTTCTGAAGGTGTTTTGAGTAGTAACCTTTTGCGTACTAAGTCATGTATGATTTTTTTCCAGGAGCAAAGTTAAGTAGATCTTCAATACAGTCTAAATTAGTTCACGTACATAAACATTTCAAAATTAAATTCATAATAGTTTTAAAATGGAAGATGAACTTCCCCGTGAATTTAGAGAATTTCCTCTCACACATTTAGAGTCTCACAACAGCAATAACAACCAGAACATTAAATGCATGACTTTCCTCTTCATTTTAATTTATGTAAATTTCTTCCATCATTTCAACTAATATATTCAAAAATGCAACACATAAAATGCGGTGATACATTTATTTGTCATGAATTGCCGGGTCTGGCTCAGCTTAAGGTGAGGAGGATTAGCAATAAAGCACTTGGACACAAAAATTAACATTCACAATGAATTATTCATGTTCTTAATGTTAACCATGTGTTTAAAAGTACTGTTCCACAAATGCATTTAATACAACACAGTGTTAGCTGAAAAAAACAGCATTAAATAAAGAGCTCCTCTGCTCATAAAGTAACCATGAAGCCTGTGAGCACCTTGAAGGGCATCATTTTGGGATAGTTGAAAATGTCCAGGCAGCTGCAAGGAGGCCTTTGAACGACATCTCAAGTGAGGACTTCCTTCACTGCTATAAAGAGTGGCAGCAACACTGGAATTGCTGTATTGAATTGCTTATTTTCATGTAACAATCATAAGGTAAATCATTCTAATTATTTTTGGGACAAACTCTTTCTCTCTCTAGAGCAGGCATGGGCAAACTTTGGACTTCAACTCCCACAATTCATAACAACCTCAGGCCCCTTCCTTTTCCCCGCTCAGGTGCTCTCTGGATGTAGATGAACTACAACTCCAAAACCCAAGTTCAATGCCCACCAAATCTTTCCAGTATTTTCTGTTGGTCATGGAAGTTCTGTGTGCCAAGTTTGGTTCAGTTCCATCATTGGTGGAATTCAGAATGCTCTTTGATTGTAGGTGAGCTATAAATTCCAGCAACTACAATTCCCAAATGACAAAATCAAGCCCCCCAACCCCACCAGTCTTCAAATTTGGGCGTATTGGGTATTTGTGCCAAATTTGGTTCAGTGAATGAAAATACATCCTAAATATCAGATATTTGCATTACAATTAATAACAGTAGCAAAATTACAAATATGAAGTAACAATGAAAATAATGTTCTGGTTGGGGGTCGCCATAACATGAGGAAATGCATTAAGGGGTCGCAGTATTAAGAAGGATAAGAAACACTGCTCTAGATAGATAGATAGATAGATAGATAGATAGATAGATAGATAGATAGATAGATAGATAGAGAATCCTTTCTGCATTGTCTTTTCTCCTACACTATTCTTCTATTTCCAGTTTATGCTGACTATATCATAGAGTTTTCTTGGCAAAATTTGTTGAGGGTGAGCCCTTCCCTTCCTCTGAGGCTGAAAGACTGACTCCCCAGGTCACCCAGAAAAGGTTGTTCATGGCTCTGAGGGAAATCAAACCCTATCCTCAGTTGTCACAGTACAATACCCAACCCACCATTCCTGGGCCCCTTCCACACAGCTAAATGAAACCCCAAATGATCTGCTTTGAACTGGAATATATGGCAGTGTGAACTCAGGGCCCTACCACACAGCCGTATAACCCAGAATATCAAGGCACCATATCCTTTCCACCTGCTACTAAGGGGGCTGTCGAGGTCCTGAACCGGTGCCTGGCCGCTGTAATGGTCTGGATGAGGGCGAACAAACTGAAATTAAATCCAGACAAGACAGAGGTACTCCTGGTCAGTCGCAAGGCCGAACAGGGTATAGGGTTACAGCCTGTGCTGGACGGGGTCGCACTCCCCTTGAAGGCGCAGGTTCGCAGCTTGGGTGTGACCCTGGATTCATCTTGAGCCTGGATCCCCAGGTTTCAGCGGTGACCAGGGGAGCATTTGCACAGCTTCGGCTCGTGCGCCAGCTGCGCCCGTACCTTGGGAAGTCTGACTTGGCCACGGTGGTACACGCTCTGGTCACATCCCGCCTTGACTACTGCAACGCTCTCTACTGACGTGGGGCTGCCCTTGAAGACGGCCCGGAAGCTTCAGCTAGTCCAGCGCGCGGCAGCCATGTTACTAACGGGAGCGGGACGCAGGGAGCACACAACGCCCTTGTTGTCCCAGCTCCACTGGCTGCCGATTGCTACCGGGCCCAATTCAAGGTGCTGGTGTTATCCTACAAAGCCCTAAACGGTTCCGGCCCAAAATACCTTGGACCGCATCTCGGCCTATGAGCCCACGAGGGCCTTGAGATCATCCGGGGAGGCCCTTCTCTCGATCCCGCCCGCCTCACAGGCACGTCTGGCGGGGACGAGAGAGAGGGCCTTCTCAGTGGTGGCCCCCCGGCTGTGGAACGCCCTCCCTGCTGACATTAGACAGGCGCCCTCCCTTATGGCTTTTCGTAAGAGCCTAAAGACCTGGCTATTCGGGAAGGCATTTAATTGAGACCTACACGAATCTGGTAATGACATCTGGAACGGACTATGGATTATGAGTTTGGCTATGTCTCTATGTTGTGATGGCGCGGATTTATTAGTGTGATTTAGATTAATGTGTAATGTGGTTATTGATATATTGTATGTTTTTGTAGACTGTTTTTACATGTTGTACACCGCCGCGAGTCGCCCCAGGGCTGAGAGCGGCGGTTAACAAATGAAGTAAATAAATAAATAAAATAAATAAGGCAGAAAATCCCACAATATTGGCTTTGAACTGGAATATATGGCAGGGTGGACTCAGGGCCCTTTCACTCAGACCTATATCCTAGGACGAGTGTGGAATATAACCAGTCAGATAACCCAGTTCAAAGCAGATATTGTGGGATTTATTTATTTATTATTTATTTCCTGCATTTGTAATCCACCCTTCTCACTCAGGGTGGCCTCACAGCAAGGACCATCCATCTGGTGCTATCACAATTATAAACATTCAACAATACAATTAAAACACTGAACAATTAATTAAAACAGATAGTTAAAAACAGTTAATTAAGAACAGTCAACTAAAACAATATATTAAAACATGGCAATTAAGATCCAAATCTAGATCCGGGTCAATTAAGTATTGCGAGTTGCTTAAATCTTCTTCTCACATTGCTGCTATTCAGTAGTTGAATGCTTGGTCTCATAGCCCAGTCTTGAGTTTCCTTCTCCTGGGGAGGGAATTCCACAGACGGGGAGGGGGGCGCTCCCTTGAAGGCCCTGTCCCTCATCCCCACCAATCGTGTTTGTGATGGCAGTAGGATCGAGAGCAAGGCCTCTCCACATGATCTTAAGCTGGGTCAGAACTGATTAGGACTTTAAAGGTTAAAACCAGCACTTTGAATTGTGCTCAGAAGCAGACCGGCAGCCATTGGAACTGGTATAACAGAGGGGTTGTGTGCTTCCTGTACGCAGCTCCAGTGAGCAACCTGGCTGCCAGCCTTTGGACTAATTGAAGCTTCCAGCCAGTCTTCAGAGACAGTCCTGTGTAGCGTGCATTGCAATAGTCTATTCGGGATGTAATAATAATAATAATAATCTTTATTTATATCCAGCCACCATCTCCCCAACAGGGACTTGAGGTGGCTTACATGAGGCCAGGCTCAAAAGAGCATTACAATAAAATAAAAAAATAAAACCAAAGCACAAAACAACAGTATAATAAAATACCAGTACCTAAAACATAAGAGTACAGTAAGCAGTCACAGTGACAGTGAGCAGGCCGCATGAAAAAGATAAAATACTAAAATGCTAAAAACTTAGGGTGAGATAGGGATGGAGTAGATTATTTATGGGGGAGAAGCTCATCAAAGCGAGGTCATAAAAAGGCCTTCATACAGGAGCAAATGTTGAGAGGGAGCAACTGTGTATGGTTGTATGGTTACACTTCAAAAGTGGTGATCCATGTAACAAGAACATGGACCACTGTGGCCGAATCAGACTTCCCAAATCAGACTTACTACCTTGATGTTCTGGGATATAGGCAGAGGCGACCATAGGTAATTTTCAATGGTAAGCAAACAGTATCCCCCCCCCCCCCCCCCCCCCCCCCCCCGTCGTGGGAGTTCTGTGTGCCCTATTTGGTTCAATTCCATCATTGGTGGAGTTCAGAATGCTCTTTGATTGTAGGTGAACTATACATCCCAATAAATACAACTCGCATATGTCAAAGTCTATTTTCCCCCAAGTGCGCCTCAAGAGCACCCCTGGGCAAAATCAACTATACTGCAAACGCTGACTTTGCGTAATGGGTTGAGCCACCCCTGGATATAGGGCTGTGTGAAAGGGCCATTAGAGAAGCCAGTTCGAAACAGATATTGTGAGATTTTCTTCCTTAATATTCTGGGATATTCGGCTGTGTGGAAGGGCCCTTGGTTATCTCCTATCCTGCCCTTTGAAAAAACAGCCTGGGCCTTTCCACACAGCCCTATATTCCAGAATATCAAGACAGAAAATCCCACAATTTCTGCTTTGGACTGGGTCATCTGAGTCCACGCTGCCATATATTCCAGTTCAGAGCAGATAACGTGGGGTTCTCTGCCTTGATATTCTGGGATACAGGGCTGCGTGGAAGGGCGCTCTGTCGTCCGATGCCCCACGAAAACCGCCTAACTCCCTTCAGGTTGGGGCGAGGAGGGGAGGAGGATGCACGGCGAGAGGCAAGGGAGGCCGGGCAGAAGAGCGTTCTCCTTGGCCGACGCCTCCCTCCCGCGAGTGGGAAAGGAGCGAGAAGGGAAAGAAAGAGTGGGAGGCGCCTTCCTTGGCCAGAGGCAGGCAGCAGCACGGCAGCACTTTCTCCCGCCTGACAGCTCTCCGGCGCGGAAAGGAGAGCGGCTGCTTCTCTCCTTCTCCACACAGAAAGAGGAGGAGGCGGGGGCGCTGACAGGGAGCCTCTTGCCTCCTTCTGCCGGCATTTCAACCTGTGAGGAGAGGCAATGCAAGGCGAAGAGAGAGCTTGGCTTGAGGCGGGGGAAAAGCCCCCGAAGGCATAGCGCTCCGCCGTGGGTTTCCAAGCAGAGCGACCCGCGGCTGGAGGCAGAGGTTGCCTCCCCTCCCCCCCCCTCTCTCTCAAGCCCTCCCGCCAGTCAGAGCAAAAGGGGCCTGTGGGGAGGCGAAGGCCGGCTTTGGACCATGGAGAACAAGCGCTGCTTCCCCAACCGCTTCGACGACTACAAGGGCAGCCTCTTGGGCGGGCCGTGGCAAGAGAAGGTGGTGCCCTTGGTGACGGCCACCGTCGAGCGCATCCTCAAGGCGCTGCCCGAGCCCGGGGCAGGAGGAGGCGGCGTCGGCGTCGGCGGGGGTCTGTACGGCGGGGCGGGCGGCGTGGCCTTCATGCTGTACCAGGTGGCGCAGAGCCCGTCCTTCGCGGCGGCGCGCGGCTCGTACCTGCGGGCGGCCCAGGGGCTGGTGGAGGCCTGCCTGCGCGACCAGGAGGCGGAGGAGGAGGCGGCGGCGCAGGAGGGCGCGGCCGGGGATCCCGCCTGGGGAGAGGCCGGGGACGACCCCCGCGCCGCCTTCCTCCTCGGCGGGGCCGGCCTCTACGCCGTGGCCACCCTGGTCCGCCACGCCCAAGGGGCGCCCGACTGGGCCGAGCCGCTGGGCAAGTTCCGCGCCCTCGCCGCCCTCTGCGTCCCGCTCCGCTTCCGCCAGGGCGGCTCCGACGAGCTCTTCGTGGGCCGCGCCGGGTACCTCTGCGCCGCCCTCCTCCTCAAGCAGAAGCTGGCCTTGGAGGTACCACTCGCCCCCCGCACCGGGCCCGCTTCCTCCTGCTTTTCTTCTCTTTCCCTCTCCATCTCCTCCTGCTTCTCTTCGTCTTCTTTTCTCTCTTCCTCTTCCTCTTCTCTTTGTCGCCTTCCTTCTTCTCCTGCTTCTTTTAGTCTTCCTCCTCCTGCTCTTCTTCTCTTTCCCTCTCCTTCTCTCCTGCTTCTCTTAGTCTTCTTCTTTCTCCTCCTCTTCCTCTTCCTGCTCTTCSTCTTCCTTCTCCTCCTGCTCCTCCTCCTCCTCCTCCTCCTGCTCTTCTTCTCTTTCCCTCTCCTTCTCTCCTGCTTCTCTTAGTCTTCTTCTTTCTCCTCCTCTTCTTCTTCCTGCTCTTCGTCTTYCTTCTCCTCCTGCTTCTCTTAGTCTTCTTCGTCTTCCTCCTGCTCTTCTTCTCCTTCCTGCTCCTTCTTCTCCTGCTTCTCTTAGTCTTCCTCTTCCTGCTGCTCTTCCTCTCCTTCATTCTCCTTCTGCTTCTCTTAGTTTTCTTCCTCTTCCTCCTGCTCTTATTCTCCTTCCCTCTCCTTCTTTTCCTGCTTCTCTCAGTCTTCTTCTTCCTCCTCCTCCTCCTCTTTTTCCCCTTCCTTCTCCTACTCCTGCTTCTCTTTGACTCCTTCTTCCTCCTTCTGCACTTCTTCCCCTTCCTGCTTTTCCTCCTCCTGCTTCTCTTAGTCTTCTTCCTCATCTTCCTTTTGTCCTCTTTCTTCTCCCACTCCTCTTCCTCCTTTCCTCCTCAACCTGCTCCTCTTTGTCCTGCCCCCTCCTGCTGCTCCTCTTCTCCTCTACTTTTTCCTTCTGCTCCTCTTCCTCCAGGTTCCCTCCTCCTTTCCTCCTGTCCAATCTCCTTTTCCTTCTTCATCTCCTCTTCTTGCTCCTACTCCTCTACTTCCAGTTTGCTGGGGTACTGTAAACATGTATTTCAAAACACAAACAAAGTTTAAGAACTTGGCATCATGCTAAATGTCCTTTGACCAGAAGATGGCCACTTGGAGTGCCTCTGGTGTCACTGTGAGAAGGTCCTCTATTGTATATGTAGTAGGGCTCAAGTTGCAATGTCATAGGTGGTCTGTGGTTTGCTCTTCTCCACACTCGCATCTCATGGACTCCACTTTGTAGCCCCATTTCTTAAGGTTAGCTCTGCATCTCGTGATGCCATTCCGACTTGCAGCATTGGTTTGGTGACCTTAGGTGAGTCATACACTCAGCCCAGAAAACCCTATGACAGGTTCACCTTAAACTGTCTCCACAAGTTAAAAATGACTTGAAGGGGCAAACATCAAACTTCAAATCCCTTGTACTGAATTATAGCAGTTAAAGTGGGACTGTAGTTATATGATCAAGTAGTGTGCAATATCTTTTGTTTTTTTAGGCTTAAAACCATTTATCTTTCCTAAGTTATGTTTTGCTCCTCTTCCAATATTTTGCATACAGAGAAGGAGAAATTGTTTGTGTAGAGGGGTAGCTAGTGACTCTGATGTTGACAAGGGACCTAATCCTCCAGATCTGAAGAATTTAGAAGATCCTGTGGTCCTTTAAGACACTGACTCTTTTTTAGGAATAGATCCTGGGATATATTAAAATCCAGACTGGATTCATTTCTGTCCCAGTGATATGGAAATCATCAGATGATGAAGCAAGAGACATGAGGCTGGAATTGGGATAACCAGAAGGTATAGTTGCTCCAGTAGATCACACCCTGTGATCTCAGCAGTCTAGGGACAGGGAAGGGAAGAGTTTATGTCTCCTTGTGAAAGTTCCTGAAAACTTAACTCTGGAACTTTGCCCCTGTTTCTGCTCATCTCTGTTGCTTTGGGCTAGCTTTGAACATGTAGTTGCAGCCAGGATTCGTCCGTTCCACCTTGAATGGAGATTATATTGAGAAAGTTCAACATGTCAGAGGTGTGGAGATGATGAGTCACTGGCCAGTTTCTCTTAAACCCAGACATCAAGTATTTTGAGGTGGATATTTCATAAATAAACTTGACAAGTCATGTAGACCATAGGATGTAAAATAAACATTGGTGGGAAGTGTTTGCTTTTGGACAAGTCTTTTAAGGAGTAAGGGGCATTACTGTAAATGGATGGCCCTTAAAAATACAAGCTGCCTAGCAACACTACTCTAGTTGTGGCATAAGAGATGTTGTTGTTGTTGTTGTTGTTGTTGTTGTTGTTGTTGTTGTTGTTGTTGATGATGATGATGATGATGATAACAATAATAAACTTTATTTATATCTTGCCCTATCTCCCCAAGGGAACTTAGGAAGGTTTACAACAGATATTGGCAAACATTCAATGCTGTGAGAAGCTGAACAAAGACAAAAATAACCATCCCCCCCAAATCCCAAAACAAATCCACATCAAAAAAAATAATAACACATTATACTGCATTATTACTAGTAATATTATATGTAATCTATAATATACATTATTTTATATAATTATATATTATATTATTATATTGTACTATATTATTATCCTGCAATAATAATAAAATATAAGATAAGAAAATCACCCTCTTCCTGTGACATGTCAAAACTGCAGAATGTTATTGTGTTGCCACATCTTACTGCCAAATATATAGAATCATAGAACCATATAGTTGGAAGAAACCTTGTGGGCCATACAGTCCAACCCCCAGGAAAATCACATTCAAAGCACCCCCTGACAGGTGGTCATCCAGCCTCTGCCTCCAAAGAAGGAGCCTCCACCATACTCCGGGGCAGAGAGTTCCACTGCTGGACAGCTCTCACAGTCAGGAAGTTCTTTTTCATGTTCAGGTGGAATCTCCTTTCCTGTAGTTTGAAGCCATTGTTCCACGTCCTGGTCTTCAGGGCAGCAGAAAACAGACTTGCTCCCCACCTCTCTATGACTTCCCTTCACATATTTATATTTGGAAATGTATCCCATTAATTTCACTGCAACTTCTTCCATTCCTAATAAGTGTATGAAATGGTCCTAGTTTGAGATCTGGAGATTGTGGGTATGGATATATATATTGCTTGAAATCCTTTATGAGAGATGTGTATCAATTAGCATCTGAGTTATCTTTCTGGGTAGCAGCCACTGCAGTCAATGGAGATCTGTTCCCCTATTGTTTGGGAAGCGATTGTGAACAATCTCTGATAACAGACAGAAGCAGAATACATGGCACAATTGCTTCTATTGCTGGAGATCACTTGTACTTGGGGAGGTGTAAATGTTAGCCAGCTACTTCTTGATTGATAGGGTCTGATCTGGTAAGTGCCAATTGGAGTATTTTCATGGGGTCTATGTAGTCTTTCAAATAGGGACTAAAATGATCATGAATATATAATAGTCATCAATGCATAACTCTATATTATGCATTCATAACTATCATAGAGAATTCGGGCCATTATTTATTTAAAATGATTTGTAATATCATTGATTTTTGTTTTAAATGGTTTAATAAACATGACTACTATAGTGTTTAGCAAATTATTTTCTCTTGAGTCCCTTTTAGGTTTACATAATTTGTCTTAAATCTTATTGGTAGTTCCAATTAAAACAGACCCATTGAATCAATGAGAGTATATAACTATTGACTTCATGTTTAGTAACTGATCACAATATATGGACTGGACATACGGACTGAGTTGGACACGATTTTATCCTGGCGAACGGCTTTTATGTAATTTTATGTAATTTATGTAATGTAATTGGTAACTTAATGTTGTTTATTGTGTTTTAGATTTTCAGTGTTAGCATTGAATCTTTGCTGTTAGCCGGTCTGAGTCCCTCTGCAGAGGTAGAGAAGATTGGGATATAAAAGTTTTAAATAAATAAATGAACTGATGAATGGCTCTACTCTACTCTAGGTGAGACTAGCAGTTGCATTTGAGCCCATATTAATTGGGGATGGGAGGATGGAGACAATACTGCGACCTTACTGAAAAAATTCTGCCACCAATGCTTGTTGTTAAGATTGTAGAACAGGTTATCTGATGTTGTGTCCCTCCTCATGTTTTGTTGCAACTCCACCACTAGAAATGCTGGAAAGGGCTACAAGGCCCCCATCTACACAGCCTTATGTGACAGTTTGAAATTGCATTATATGGTAAGTATGTGAGCTTCCGCTGTCAGCCCTAGCTTCTGCCAACCTAGCAGTTTGAAAACATGGAAATGTGAGTAGATCAATAGGTACCGTTCCAATGGGAAGGTAACGGCGCTCCATGCAGTCATGCCGGCCACATGACCTTGGTGTCTACGGACAACTCCGACTCTTCAGCTTAGAAATGGAGATGAGCACCACACCCCAGAGTCAGACATGACTGGACTTAATGTCAGGGGACAACCTTTACCTTTTTATAGAGTCATATAATGCAATTCAATGCAGTTAATCTGTGTCATAGAGTCTATACTGACCATTTAATGCAGTTTCATGTCACCTCTCAGTCTTCACTTCTTCAGGCTAAACATGTCCAGCTCTTTAAGCCGCTCCTCACAGGGCTTGTTTTCCAGGCCCGTGATCATTTTAGTCACTCTCCTCTGAATGAATGTGATTTTCCTGCTCCTTGGCAAGGGGTTGGACTATGATTCTATGATTCATGCTCCTTTGTGGAAGTGAGTTAAACACATGTCAATGTGGTTGCTTTCGCGAAAAAAAAGTTCCAATCACAACCATATAGCAAATATTATCTGCATGGTATTTCATTCCTCCTTGTCAGAAGGATGAGCACGGGGAATATGTTTCTTAAGAATTACATTGCACATGTCATAATGTAATCCTCCCCCAATATAATTATATGCACACCAGGGAATTGTACCTTGAGAATTGCTTCTGCAATGTAATAGCATTAAAATAACATTTTAACATCTGTGACAACTTATGTTCTTGCATGGCTTACAGAATATTATATTTTATGACTGCAGCTTTTTTTTATGACTTTTTCAAGCCACACGATTAAACAGGAGCATAATGGTGAATTACTGGCAGTGTATATTTTTGGGCCATATGT